TCAGTTTTGGCGGCAGTTCCTGTTTGTCTAGAAGTCTTGTCATCAGGGCTCTACAAATAGAGTTAACTACGGCAGATATGTCATATTTAATGCAGCCGAAACGTGTATTACAATGCCGTTATGTGATGACTTTCAAAGAGAAAAGCAAGCACACTCGGAATAATGTATTATTTAATTGTTTTATACAGTCTATGGTTGCTACAGAGGATTGTGGGTAATGTCCAACACAGTCTCACGGCATTTCGTGTTATAGAGTGGCGAAGTCCCTCCCCTTCCGGTGGACCTCCATGGGACCTTATTTCGGAAAAATTATGTATTGAAGTCAATGGAGAGAGAAAGATTATCTTTCGATCCCGTTTGAATTGTGCCACGAATTACACATATGATGTTTGTCAATTTAAAAGATAATTTTGCAAGTCAAAAAAAAAAAAATGTGTCGTAAAACTGTGAAGTAACACATTTGTTTGTGTGAAACGCTCAATGAACTACATCTCTAGTCAACAACACACGTCACCAAGATGGCCGTCACTACTGTCTTGTCAACAAAACGATTGACTACCCTCACTATCACCACAATGAAACACGTCCTAAAGAATGTCATGCAAAGCTGCCTGCCTTCCTTTGATTCTCTCTGAACTGCCTGGTTGTTTTAAATTTTAATGTCAACCATTTGTGCAGATAGCATGAAGTAGAGAAGATCGCTAGCGTGAGCGTTAGCATTTCTCCCCCGGGCTTAAATTGTGTATTATAGAATGATCACACTCTTCAAAGGGTTCACGAAATATGACTACTACTCTTACTGTTTAACATTGTGGTTTACTTAATGTTACTTCATGTTAAGGCTAATAAAAATGACAAGGCTGTAATGCTAACTAACGTGCTAGCTACTAGCTAGCTTGATCCAGAGTACTCCTGGTCCTTTCATCAGACGGGAAGCGAAAGAACGAGCAAGACCCATTGCTGGTATAATAACAACCTGGTACTAAGCACACAGGCATCTTGTTAAAGTTATCTTAGCTAAGATCAGCGCCATATAGATAGATTATATCTATATGGCGCTGATCTTAGCTATCTCTTATCTCAGTGGAGGAAAACAATTGTGACATCACTTACGCGACTCTGGGATTTGTAGTCTTTCTAGTTACGTATTTTTCATAGTCTTATATTTCAACAGTTTTACGACAAACTGTGACTTTTTTGACATGGAAATTATTTTTTAAGATTGACAAACATCATATGTGTAATTCATGGCACAATTCAAACGGGATCGAAAGATAAGTTTTCTCTCTCCATTGACTTCAATACATTATTTTTCCGAAATAAGGTCCCATGGGGCGGAAGTAGATGGGCGTGACTTCGCCACTCAATAGTCACGAAAATTAATCTATTGATTCGTGTTGTCGCCATCTCTGAGAATAGCCAGACGATGTCCCTCCAACTCTATCTTGGCTTTCTCAGATTCTTGTCGCATCCGCTCCACTGTGATTTCCTTTTCAATTCCCAACTCATACTTCATTTTGTCATGTCCCGGTCATGTTCATATTTTACTCTGTCATGTTCCCACTTTATTTTTTCGTGTTCCTGCTGCAACAACAACATTTCCCTCTGCTGCTCAAAAGAAAGTGCACTTGCCTGAAAACGAGGTTTTAACAAAACCCCCTCTTCCTTTGCAGCAAAAACTCCCGTCTCCCTTAACGTCGACACTATAGAGTCTTTTATGTTGTCTTTCACCCTTCTATCCCCGACAATACACAGTAAATTTCTCAGAGTAAAATTGACTCAAATTGAAGAAAATTTTACTCTAAAAATATAACATTTGGTCCCAACCTATATAGAGTAAAATGTACTCTTTGTTCAGAGTTGTATTTTTAGAGTTCATTTTACTCTATTATGTGCTTAGATTTTACTCTGCTTAATGGTTATTTACTCTATGTAGTGTATATTAAAAACAACTCAATTTTACTCCAAATAGAACTTAATTTTACTCTCAATCGAATGTAATTTCACTCCAAATAGAAGGTAATTTCACTCCAATTAGAAGGTAATTTCACTCCAATTAGAAGGTAATTTCACTCCAAATAGAAGGTAATTTCACTCCAATTAGAAGGTAATTTCACTCCAATTAGAAGGTAATTTTACTCCAATTAGAAGGTAATTTCACTCCCAATCGAATGTAATTTCACTCCCAATCGAATGTAATTTCACTCCAAATAGAAGATAATTTTACTCCCAATCGAAGGTAATTTCACTCCAAATAGAAGGTAATTTCACTCCAAATAGAAGGTAATTTCACTCCAAATAGAAGGTAATTTCACTCCAAATAGAAGGTAATTTCACTCCAAATAGAAGGTAATTTCACTCCAAATAGAAGGTAATTTCACTCCAAATAGAAGGTAATTTCACTCCAAATAGAATAAATGAACCATAATGATCTTTACAATAAAAAAAGGTCAATAAACCAAAGTGCTTTTCAAAGCCCAATTTATTATCATGTGCAAGACATAACACAATGTAAATCCCTTTGGAAATGTACAGATTTAAAGATATAAAAAAAAAGAGGGAGGCCTCAGTAAAAATGGAAATTAAAATGTTGGCCCCTGTTCACCTTCAAGACATGTACATTTTTTAAATCACAGCAGACTATTTCCAACATAAAACAAAATTGCATCAGCATACCATATTTTGAAAAAAATAAAATGTTGGCCTCTTTACCTTCAATAGATGAAAATAAAAACATCAATATTTTTCTATTCCACAATAGTGATGCAGTGATGTATGACCCTGAAGTAAGCTGCAAGGGTTCGCTCGACAAAAAAAAAAAATTACTGCACCACTCTATACATCTGGATTATAAATGGCTTCCTATGCATCTTTGTTTAATCACAGGAAACAGTATGGGACAATAAACAAACTTGCATCATCACAACTGTATGACATCTGTATATCAAATGCTTTGTAACAGAAAAGTTCTTTGACATCAACCACATGAGGTCCATCTGTTGTACACACAACTTTAAATGCATTAAAATGCTCATCAAGACATATGGTTTGTAGAACAAAAGTAACCAACAATAATCTCTCATCATGTACAATAACATGGTGGATTTTGTGAAAAACTGGCATCTCACTTTGGACTTTAACACACACAACTAAACTTGATCGATACATATTTCCATGGTGTTTGGCCCATCTAGCTTTCAAAACCTTGGTGTCAATTGGTATTTGAAGAGTCTCAGCTATCTCACAGCCCCATTCTATTACATGTAAAGATAACATTTTACTTGGACCGAAAATTACTCGGTTAGGGTCAAATGTCTGCCAACTGTAAGCTATGTGACTTTGGTGTTTCTTGGCCAATGTTTTAGTTATATTTTTGAAGCTTTTTAATTGTTTTTTAAAGAAGTTGTGCTTTGCTTCATAGCGCATGCACCAGCTATGCAAAATTGGACCAATTTTACGAATACATGTAGGGTAATGCACCATAAAATGATGCTTTGGTAGCAGCCTCTTGTTTGGAAACACGTGCTTGAACAATCTGTGATGTTCTGCGATCAAGTTTTTCAGAAAAACAGTAATTCCCTTTGTTAACTTTGGAGAAAATACAATGTTTACTATTTGAAGCAAGAGTAGTAGCAAATACCAGTGTTGATCATTTGGAGAAATTAAGTCTCCAAAGATAAGCGGTAGATTGCGAAGTAAACACCAGGATTGGATGGCATTTAACCCCAAGTCATTTGAGCCCTCTGTCAACTTTACTGCAGGAGGTTTGTTGTTTTGCTCCATGTAACCATAGTTAAAGCTCTTAATTCTTCTCTCAACTTCCTTTGATGTGGTGCCATTGTCTATCAAGTGAAGTATTAGCAGTTTCATTTCATACTGTGCCACTCCCTCCAAGATATCATGCATGATATCGACAGAGAAATTTGTACATGTACTGAAGTACTGCAAGGAATTTAGAGAGCAAGAACGTTTAACACCCATCACATATGGAAGAGTTGGATTTGTCTCCATTTGTCAGCAATGTTCTTCATGAAGTGTTTCAGTTCGCATAACTATCTTAGGTGAATCTTCATCAAAGACTGTCTGAAAGTCCTCTTTCTCAGCGAGACAAAAGCGGCAACAATATCTGGCATTGAATGATTCAACAAAACCAAACAAACAGTGGAGACCAAGGTTGTCACCTGTTACTTGGACAATAGTTCCATACACTGGCTGATCAAACAAGTGAACCATAATTCCATCCCTCTCAAGTATTTGAATATCTTGCACAAGTGGATCAAGGATTTTAGAAAAGCCATACGTTTTTATGTCTTGGGCATGAAACAAAGCGACCAAATGAATATTAAGGAGAATTGAGTTGTATTTTGGAGAAATATTTCGCAACGTAAAATAGATTGCTCCCAATTTGTGTATTCCCCGTTTTGATCCTAGAGGATTTGCAGTTTCAAAATCGTCATAGAAAAGCTGAATCTGAAATGCATGTTTCTGTTTTGAAAAAAGAGCATGACTCTTAAAAAAATCTCCATCACAAAAATCATGGACATTTTCTTTTGAAATGGTTTCAGTCTGCAGCATCTCCTTTATATTAGGGTGTTTGTAAATGAACTGTAATGTTTTCAAAATTGGGATGTAAACAAATGTATCAGTAACAACAACCTGTTCATAACTTCCAGTAGTCCGATTGCGCAGGGTATCAAATCTTGTACCAAGAACATATTCTACTGGGTCTACCCTTCCCCACTTCTCTGTAAAATATTGCCTTCTCTTACTTTCTGAATTTAATACACCAAAAGGATTTTCCATTTTTTCAAAACACTGATCGATTTTACACTCAATGTCACTTTTGTGAGGCTCCTGTAAAGATAGACACTTTTTTACAGACTCTTTTGCTTGATTATGGATATCATAAACAATCTCTTCCATGGAAATGACCAAAGAATTAATGGTGGTTTCACCTACACCTGCCACTTTAAGTTCAGCTACTGTTGCTGCGCAGCTGTCTACAAGACTCTTATCAAGAAGGACTGAAGATGGAATAAGACAGAAAAGTAGACATAAGGGTCATGAAAGATTTAACATCCCTAACCAGGCTTTTGTAGAACAGTAATAAGGCAGTCAAAGATCCACATACCATTCCTGGTATGTCTAGGAATCTTGGAAACACAGTGAATATTTCAGAAGACTTGACTGGGTCATGAAGCATCTTTTGGCGATATGTGAAGGTCTGCTTCATCTTCTCCTTGACAATTGCTTCATCAGCTGAGTGCTTCATCAGTGCGATAGCCTCGCAACACAGGCTTTCAGTGGTTAGACAGTTTGCCTCTGTGAAAGGGCCTCTATCAGCTTTTGGACCACCTGTTACAGAGGTGGAATGTTTACTGAATACTGTGTTTGACTGCTCTTTACATACATATGACATTTTGTTTTAAGTTATGTCATCAGATGAAAGTAGATTAATTTGATTCAGAAACAGAATAAATACAAACTACAAAAGAGTACAAGATTTAGAAAAACAAGAGTATACATTAAATTATTCTCCAATCATGTGTTATAAATTAGATTTACTATCCACCTACAATACAAATCACATACCTGTTAGTGACTGACGCAGGGTCTTCTTTTGTCCCTCTGATGCTCCCTTTTGAACAAATTTCAGTCTCCATGCCAGGTACCCACTACCATCTTCTGCATTGTAATAATGCTCCTAAAGTAAAAGGGTGTAATTCAGTTTGATGAGCAGGTTAAATATAGTTTTTATCTCCTTAAAACTACACACTGAACTGGGCATTAATAACATTTAAGGAAAGCTTTAGGAGAGATGACAAATATGGTGGGCATACAGAAATGTTGATAGCTCTTTTATGGAGGTTATTCCCTATCTTTATTCAAGAGCGTGGTCTTTCAATTTGAGAGTATCATTTATTGATTTCAGTGCAAGTGTTTGAGCAGGAGCAGAGCAAATCTAAGTGCAAGCAGGCACTATTTGGAGTGCGAGGACAGGGTTTGAGGGAAAGAAATACAAAATGTGAACATGAAATCAAGAAATTATGCTCTCAAATTGAAAGACCACGCTCTTGAATAAAGATAGGGAATAACCTCCATACTATTTAGCTGAACTGGAAACATCACCCAACAGTGTAATAATTTCCACATTTACATTTTGAGGACGGAAAGCAAAAGTCCCAGAGAATTGTGTGACACCTAGTTTCTAATGTACTTACAAAGCCAAACTTGCTCCTAGGATCGGCCAGGTTTGGGAACAAGGAAGTGATGCCCTTTGCGTATTCCTCTTTAACACGCCTTGAAGGACTTGTCCTACAGACACAGACACACACAGCGTGAGACAAACACACAACTTCTGTAAAAGAAGGGTGTTGTACTTCACCATATCAAGTCAATAAAAGTGTCCTTGGTGTGTAGGTATGTTATGATTTTATGAAAACATACCCATGATCACTTGTCATTTGTGCAACCAATATCTTGACCATATCGCGTCTCCTGGAATCTGTTAGACTTTTAGTCCGAGCATACTCATTCATGATCCTCTCTCCACCAGGTTTGTTCTTCAGAATGTCTTCAATCATCTTAGTGGAAGTAATAATAAAAAGAACACACTGAAACGTTTAAAACAGTCATAAAATATCAAGTGTAAAAAAACACACTATAATCATTATTTCTTAACTTTCATTCATCTGTCATTTATCACTACATTTTCAAGTTTGTTAAAACTTTCAGACAAAGGCTGTAATGAAATCTGCAGAGCTTACTTTGGCTAAACGACTATCCTCTTCTCTCTTTGTAGAAGCAGGACTACGCTGCAGTATGATGGTGTCATCAGAGTCCACATCGCTGTAGCTTGTAACGGAGGCGCTTGCAGAGGAGCTTAACGAATCTGGAAATCATGTTGACAGAAATATGGTGTGATTGACAATAACCATAACACAATTTAAGTGGAAATGTCTATTATTACTCAAAGAGTTGTTGTTAATTATACATGGAATGCAAAATATTCACATAAGATAAGCCCCACTACTGATTTAAGTTAAGGGAAAATAAATGATGATAAAATGATTGTAATAATGAGAAACAACAAATCAGCAGATACATTTGAGTGTTAGGGATAAATATGGGGCTCCAAGATGGAAAGAAACTCACCATTTGGATCTTGAGGCAAACAAATCTCCAGGACACCAAGGTCTTGTTTCTGTATTAGAAACTCAAACACCTCCTCGTCAACTTCAGTCTTTGTTACATCAAAGACTTTTAAGTCCAAGGTGGGAATGTCAAATTTATTGGCAACTGTGAAGACAAAATAAGAGTTGTGATGAAATACAGTATTTTGTATATTTGTAAAGAAAAACCAGAAAACTGAAATCAAGTCCATCTTTACTTCAAAATGTTTACCCCAAAACTGACTGCACAGCAGCCTGAGTAATACAGCAATATCATTATTATTATTTATGCAATGAATAATGATGCATAGAAATGTTGAGGTCCCTAAAAATAGAGAACCAATTACTTTCTTTTAACCCTCCTGTTGTATTAGTTTTTCTGTAACAGCAATAATATTTCTGGGTAAATTTGACTGCATTTGGTGCATGTTTAATTATTCAAAAATGGTCAGAAACCCCAAAATCCAGATTTTTTGTTTGTACCTTTTATTACTATCAATGAAATCAATATTTAGTGCAATTGTGTTATTCACCTCTCACAAATCATGGTTCCATTAGAATAAGTCACTTGTTTTTCACAAAACATTTACATTCAAACACATTTTTCAAATGTATTTTTTCATTGGAAAAACCTTGATATAAAATACTTTAGTTTTGCATAACATAAAGAATTTTTTACATTTTCAAAAATGTTTTCCAATTGGTTGATGTTGATAGAGAGTCGAGACACCTCTTCTGTTCAGGGTCAAATTGACCTGTTCACTTAGAATCAAGCCAAATGAGTCATAAGGATTTGTATTGAAAGTGTTTTATTGTAACAGAGCGTGTGTGTATCGTAAAGGTTTTAACGGTACTACTACTTTTATCGATCCGGTCTTTTAATGGTACTTTTATCAGTTCTTTTGAAGAAAAAACAAGGTAAACTAACTAAACAAATTGTGAACAAAACTAACATTGCTTTTTATTAAAATAAAATATTTCACATCAAAAGAAACAACAATGTTTGAACAAATCGTATTAAATGACAGATGACTGATGACAGAATTGTAAACAGAATAGCTGAAACTTTAACAAACTAAATAACCCGGTTACCTCTAATCATTAACCCATGTTTGTATAATTGCGTTGCTGCTAGCATACATAATACACCTGACGTGGAAACGTTACTCGTGGATGGGGCTACAGCGCTACTAGAAAGACCGTCGAAAACGGTGCATTTCTCCGTCTGAATGTGGTGCACTTTTGCTAAATGTTTAGACAAATTGCTCGTGTTACCGCCCTTACATGCTAAACTCTTATTGCACTTTTGGTAACGAGCATTGTCCACATCGAGACGGGTAAAGTTGAACTACACCTCGGAGCGCGTTCTCTCCGCCATCTCCTCCGCGTGTGTGTTGCTGCATGTAGCAGCTGCGTGTGTGTAAACTGCCCCGCCCCCTCGCAAACAGACGGGGGAGAGAGATCTCTCGTCTGGATTGGAAAGATCGAAAATACTAAAAATAATCATAAACGCATTTTGCAGTCTTTTTGCGTATTAGAAACGGAGTTGGCGACACTAAAACTGCAATATAATGTTTGTGTAGCAATAATACATAAGACATATTTTGTACATGTCTCCGGTATCGTTGAAGCTCAACGGTACCACGGTCTTTAATAATTCAGTCCCGGGGCCCGTTTAATACCGGGGCTCGGTACCCATCCCTATTGTGTGTGTGCACCATTAATTCTACCTTTTACGGCCTGTAACCACAAATCAAGTGTGCCACGCATAAACTGACATCCCAAGTATGTTCAATAGGTTAGTGTGAAATATGTTTAATTTTCACTCACCACAATCCAAAAAGGATTTGAAGGTCAGTTGACCCTCATAGCAAATGTACTTCTGATGATCCTTGTACTTCACCCTTACAGTTTGCATCCTTGATGACAAGAACAAATAGTTAATTTGAATAGCATTATTACAATCATTGAACAGCAAGTTAAACGTTTAAACAATTACAAGCTATACAGTAAAAAACAATACAATTCACATTTCCACTGTAACCACCAACATTAATAGTTGAATAGTATGCAAACAAATTGAATTAAGGATTCAATTCAATAGGTCAAAACAACTTCAAAGAAACTAGATTGCTAAAAGGTGTCTGCCTACACACACAGTGCTATGACCTAGCCTAGCTAAAAAATTACCGCGAAACAATTTCAGCTCTTATCAGAGTAAAACACACGTGGTGCTGCAACCTAGCACCAGCTGAAAACTGACCATGAAACAGTTTTTGCTCTTGTCAGAGTAAAACACACGTGGTGCTGTGACCTCATTTCAGCTAAAAGCTGACCTAGTGTTAGCAGCTAAAGCTTTTTAGTGCACCTGCTCTCTGTAAAATCCGATGGAAAGTGATGGTAGCCAACACTGCTCAGTTAATGATTAAATACAGTTATTTCACTGATCCACTATGCATTAATACTGTCCTTAAACCGCTAAAAGTGCTGTATACTGTAATGTTCACAGCTAAAAGCTAAAGCTAGCATCTGACAAAGCAATTTTAAAGTGAGCTTACTTTAAAATGGTAGCAAGCTGTATTGTTTCTCAATTGTTTTGCCTTGCACACATTTAGCTAAACAGTAATGATATGCAATTATTATCTACCATTACACGTGGGATTAATATTGTCCATAAACCGCTGAAAGTGCTGTACACTGTAATGTTAATCAGCTAAAAGCTAATGCTAGCATCTGACTAAACGAATTGTGCAGTAAGCCTCTTTTTTTTAATTGTAGCTAGCTGTGTTGTTTCTCAATATCTTTACCTTTTCTAACATTAATTTAACCAGTAAAATAAGCTTACCTGGCATGAATTTCTTCTGCTCTTCTTCCGTCTGCTTTCGAGTGTGCATCTGTGCGAGAGACTTGTAATGGCGGCAGAAGTTAAACTTAAGGAACATGAGTGGGCGTGGTCATGGTTTAACTCCAATAGAATTGACTCTGCATTTTTGATCGCACTCTAGAAGCTATGAGTAATAAATACACTCCAAAATGATTAAATATCACTATTTCAGAGCAAAATAGTAATTACTCTGGAAAAAATACTCACCAATATTTCCTGTGTAGACACAGAGAAATGCTCAGCAATTAAGAGCAGCTGCTCTCTTGAAAAAGTACCAAGCAACTCCTGAGACGGAGCTTCAATAAATGCCTCTACGTCAGCCATATTAACTTCAAACGACCCCTCACCGGAACACAACACCGGACCTTTAAACCGAGAGATGAGAAAGAAAAAAAAAAACACAAAAACCACCCGGACATATACCACCACACTTATTATGCGTCCAAATTGGAACAACACTAATGTTCTGATTGGAGTTTCCCCACTAACTCACCATCCCACTGACTAATCTCCTCCCTAGTCTTCATGCAGTTACTTGTGGTGGGTATTTATGCACCGGAGACCGCTGGCCCAGCAAAGCGACTAGCAAGCTAGCAACACTACTGTGACCACGGCCATGCTCCCAAGCCGAAGCTTCAACCACTTTCTCCGCAACACTACACACCCCGCTCAACAATCCCAAGGGAACCGCCGCTTAACCTGCCAGGGAAAACTCCGCACCGCTCCGCACTGCTCCACCTGCAACGCACCAACAAACCCCCACGAGAGAGAAAGGAGAAAAAACAAAAACAAACAGCTGACCACGGCTAAGAACAACTAGCAACCACTCTCCCAAAATATAATACCAAACAAATCAAAGCCTCACAAAGTAATCAAATATGTCCCCAAACAACGATCTGAAATGTCCTTCCCACAACGAGCCGAAGCAAAGAAACCGGCCGCACTGCAAACGCGCTCCCAACAAACTTTATACACGCGCACCAACTCCCAACACAAATCTTACCTATCCGTTGCTGTATCACAGATAAGAGAAGTGGACGAGCCCCCATCTGTCATGGCCTGGCTCTTGGCCATAACAAAAAGCGTGGGAAAGGACAAGAACATGTATGAAAAATATATTTATTAACAAAAGTTTGTCATAAACAAAGAAAAACTAACACAAAGGAAAAAGCCAAAAAAGGCTAAGCAACGTGGCTGCTCCGTGGTCAGGTCCTCTGCGGGAGAGCGAGAGATCGAGACTCTGCCTCCGGCCTCTTTATCCTCTGCCAGCCGTCAGGTGTCCTTAATCAGGGCGTCAGGTGTCCCCAATCAGGGCGTCACAGGCAGAGGGGAAACATTAAAGGGCCATGCACACCACAGGAGACAACAAGGCAGGGGTCGTCACAGTGTTCACCAACACGATTTCGCCATTTTTTTCGTGTCACACAGAACGATTTTAAAAGCAATGTAAATAATAACAAATTAGAAGGAAAAAGACATTAAAAAAAATACAGATTTAAGTATTCTGACACAGAACGATTTTAGAAGCAATGTATTTATATTGGTAGTATGTTTCGTGCCTGCACCAAATAATAACAAATTAGAAGGAAAAAAAGATGACATAAAATACAGATTTCAGTATTCTTTTCCTCACTGATGGCAAAAAAACTCAGACATTATACAATTTAAAATAAAAGGGATAGGGTTAGGCTTAGGGTAAGATATTGAGTAAGAACATGTTTTTATGAACCACACAGCTTCTGGTCTTCCAAGACCCGACCGGACAAAAAGACGTGTTGCAGGCACGAAACATACTACCAATAGAAATACATTGCATTTAAAATCATTCTGTGTGACACGAAAAAAATGTGAAAATCGTGTTGGTGAACACGAATCAATAGATTAAATTAATTTCGTGACTAATAACACGAAATGCCGTGAGACTGGGTTGTAATGTCATGTCTTCGGCCATCCAAAACTCATAGAAAACGACTTGTTTCTCAGAATTGAAGGGGAAAACGTGACAAAAGCATTGTACACACACTAAAACCTATCAATGTCGTTTAATTAACAAGGATAATCTGGTGTTTTTGAAGAGAAAAGCAAGCACACTCGGAATAATGTATCATTTAATTTTTTTATACAGTCTATGGTTGCTACAGAGGATTGTGGGTAATGTAATGTCTTCGGCCATCCAAAACTCATAGAAAACGACTTGTTTCTCAGAATTGAAGGGTAAAACGTGACAAAAGCATTGTACACACACTAAAACCTATCAATGTCGTTTAATTAATAAGGATACAATAATCTGGTGTTTTTGAGTTGATGAGTAGTGGAGATATCACTGTCAAATCAATTGACAGTAACGGGCCGTCTCCACGGCAGCGTTAAAAAAATCTTGGAGGTGGGCGTATCTGAAGCTTGAGGATTTTTTGCGAGCAACCAATCACATGAATCTCCCGCCCGCGACATACGAAGCAAAAAAGCCCGAAGTAAACTGGATATAAACTCCCCAAAACAGGCGAAAACCTACCACTGTCTCTGCCACCTCCCTCCATGCCTGGCTCCTCCGGTTTATATCCCGGTAGGTCTGGTCATAAAGCACCGGGTGATTGATTCGCTACCGCTAATTTCTCCTCCATTTTTTGGAATATGAGGAAATGACCTGCGGTATTTCTCTCCCAGCATACACGCCGTTTGATTGGCTAGAGCTTGAACTGTCAGATTTGCGTACACGGGATTTGATTGGCTGACGCTTCCACCTCAGCCTCAAAAGTTGAACATTGTTCAACTTTGGATCTTGAAAATCCTGAGAATCTCCGCTTGCCTGCCCACAATGCATTTCGGCGAAAGCGAAAAAAAGTGACGTTACCCCATTCAAAGTGAATGGGCAGAAGCGTTTCAAGATTTTTTAACGCTGCCGTGGAGACGGCCCGTAAGGGGAATACTTACTTCCGGGTGTACAATTCTCCGTTATCCAATGGGAATGGACGCTCACATTGCGTTTAACAGCCTCCGACACTAACGAATGCCGTGCTTCCCTAAGCGTCAAATACCGACGCCGATGGGAATACATTGCAATCAGTTGAAAGCTCTTTGCGTCCGTTTATGAAGCTGAAGGAGCCTCGGCGCGTCACAACTGGACGCCACGGGACCCTGACCAAGCGTCGCTCCTGGACGCTTAGGGAGTAAGAGTGTGTTGACAAAAACAGATGCTTGGACCAGGCAAAAAGGGCCAAGGTTGTTTAGCAAAATTCTATGTATTTTACAATGCTGATTTAGTGCCATTGGTGACGATGGAACTTGATAGGTGAAATCAAATCTTCAGTTAAAGAAGCTCTGACATATAAGGAGGCTTGGGTGGCGTCACCAATGACATCATCACAACTGTGTCTATTTCTGTGCAGCTTTGTTTCTTCAGCTTTTGTTTCTCCATTACAATCCCTTCTCTTTCTCCCTGCCTCTCCATATAAGGGCTTGGTTTATCTTGTCTATATAAACTCTTGTCTAAGATGTTATCCTTGCTCTCCCTCCTATCCTCCTTATCAAAAACTCCTTGAAATCTGTCGTTAATCTTCACTGTTCCAGAGTCAAACTGATTTCTGCCAAGACCCCTGACGTGCCAAGTATGCTGCAACAGAAGGTAGCCAAGTCTTTGCAGAAAAATACTTTTCTAGTATGAGTTCTATATCAGTACAGTACCATATCTTCTAATCAGATTATATTTGGATCTTTCTTTTGATTTAATACGCAAAGGAAGATGTCTCAGTCCGCAAATACCTGCCGTCTTTCTCCATATGTTCCGTATGCAAAGGCAAGACCTTGGTGGGACCTGAGTTGATTAGAAGGAGTTCATTTCATGGCATGTAAAACCAATGGGGGGGTTAGTTGTAAACGCTGCCTGCAGCCTGAGCTCATGTCTGAGACCTTGCCTGAAAGACATGCATAGAGGGGAGAGGTAAAAAGGAAAAAGGAGGGGCTGGAAGGGGGTCTAAGAGAAACAGGACTCAGTGTGAGGGATTGATGCTATGGTAAAGTAGGAAAAGGAAGAACACCTGGAAGGCTTGTCTGGGGCAAAATGCCTAGGACAACAAGACTGTCTCAATACTGGTTTCTGTCTAAAGTGAGAAAATAAAGACCTGGGACGAAGAAGAAGAAAACAAATGTAGAGAAAAGAGGGAATGTAGAGCGTAAATACAAAGAAGGGGAGGGGTGCTTTTGGAGGCGCGTCAAGAATTTGCCTTTTAAGGGGTACAGTCACTCTTCCAAGCCTTGTGAGCTCTGGGTTAGCAGCCAAAACACTCTAGGGAGAAGAAATAAACAACAGCAAAGAGGCTGTGAGGACCAGAAACATGAGCGATGCTAATGTTTTTAGAAATGCTATAAATTCCCTTTATGTGCTCCTTTACAATCCAGGCAGAAAACCAATATACCAATATGCAGCTGACATTCCTTTATACATCTTTTTTTATGTTAGGTAAATTCTGTGGTGTAAGGGACCGGATTGAAACACACACTGGTTGTAAACAAGAGAAGGCTCAGTCCATTCTGAATCACCGCAGCATTCCAACAGCTGCCCTCACTGTTTGGTTCTCTTGGTTGTTTTCTACAATACCAACAATGTATTGGCCGAGCTAAAAACAGGGGCTGCCTGTATCTGGGAGCAGGAAACTGCCGAGGAGGAGAGGGTGGATGGGTGGGGGTGAGAACAGAGAGGTAATTGTATATGTAAGAGTGAGGCAACCCCAGAAGAGAGGTAGAAGCAAGAGAGAGGAGGAAGGGAGAGACGCTGTTCTTGGGATGGGAGGACTGGGACAGGGGAAGAGAAGCAAGAAGAAAGAAGCAATGAAGGAGAGTGCAGAGATGTATTGAGTGGTATCGTCTGCTCAAAAACAGATAGAAATTAGTGCCTAGGAAAGTTTGGGTGAAACAAAGAAGAGAGGGGGTGGAGGCAAAATCCACATGTGAGTGCAGCAAGTTGGAAAGAGAGGTAAAAGTGTGTGGAGAAGGGAGGAAGGGAAACAGCAAGAGCATGCAGAGTGTATCCTTCCCTCTGTCCCCGTAGCAAGAGCCAGGAAAAGGGGAAGGTCCTCCCTGTCCTCTCTCTGCAGCTGACAAAAACATCTGCCCAGAAGCCCGGGGCCGGACAGAGCGGGAGAGAGGACAGAAGAGAGGAGGAGGTTAAAAAAAAAAAAAAGGTCCAGCGGCCAGGAGCCGGTCACCTATATGGGTTGCGTCCTGAGTTCGGACTGGTGTGGGGAGGAAGAGGTGCAACCAGTGTTGGCTGTTGGCAGGAACCCATCTCTGAAGAGAAGGAGTCTGGAGAGGAGTGAGAGCGCCAGGATGAGGCTGACAAAGGTCAGTGTGCACGCAGTGTTTACATGAGTGTGTGGTGACATTTTAAATAAACATGGTCCCTGTAATGGGGCAGGAATCTGTTGATATGCACGTGCACGGTGACTGTGATTGCAGTTAATATGACGCAGGTTGCAATTTCTTGGCTGAGTGAGAATACGTTATTTGGGATTATATGTAAGATTTATGCACAATAATACACAATGACTATATTTAATTTAGGCCTATATATTATTGGCATGATTTATTTTATTATAGAGCCCTTTGCTATTCCGGGTTTTCCACATATAATAATAATAGCTTCATAAACCCATTTTCCAAAAGACTATCTTGAGTATGATGATGAAAAATGCCATGACCTTTGTTGTGATTGGATTAAAGTACTGGCATCTGTTTTGAACATTATTTTGGCTATTATCTAACAGAACAGCTTCATAAATAAATCCCAATAAAAAGCCACATTTTGTCAAAGTCAAAGTTATGATACTGGAAAACTAGAGGAAAAATTGGCTTTGTGTTTATTGCATGTCTTCCACGTGAAATATAATTGCACTGACCGTGTATGCATATCATTTATATGTCTATTAGATACTAAATATCAGATTTTTCTTCTTGCAGTCTTTGACACGCAGAAATGTTCTTATTATACTCAATAAAGTCTATGGGAACATGGAACTTAATTTAAAGTCACAAAAGAAGACATTTATAGTATGCTAAGAAAAATGATAAATCTGCATTCTGGGAACAACGAAATTAAATTGTCCTTGTAGTCTGTTTACAGGTGTTGTAGAGTGCAACTGAACATGTGAAAAAAAGTAATTGGATACAGACACAGCTGTGTGAAATATGAACAATTTCCTTGAGTGATGTCACTTGACTCAGTGTTGGATGGGTCTGTTGACTTCAAGTTTGAAATAAATTGGGGTTGGGAAGTTAGCCCTGAGGCTAGCAGCTCAAAACTTTGTTTGACACTGCTGGCACCCAGAACTCAGACTGAACCGTTGAGACGCAAGTTGGGTAGTGTAGGGACCAGGTATGGACAGGGGAAAAGAACAAAAAAAAACACAATATGTCGGATTCTGTGGCATCAATATTTTATACTTTTCTGAAACTGTCAGTTCTTAATCCGCCAATGTTTTGCCAAAAAATGTAATACCATATTGATGAATTCTCATTGAACGTTTGATTATTCAGCATAATTCAGAAGTCAAAACAACAGAAGAGCATATTTAAAATGTATTTTTGGTTGATCCAAAGAGATTTCCAAGCTTGATTAGAATTGAGTAAAGCCACTGGTCATGTTATATTTTTAATACCTGATGGGAAATTCCCTTTTCCTGCCCTCAGGTCAAAGGTCAGCATTAGCTTAGGATCATGTGGTCAGTCAATTTCAGATCCACGTGTGATAGAAAAGTGCCACCCAAAAATAATCCTTTCCTTAAATTTGATCAAATTCCAATGTGATATTAGTGTTATTCCGCTCTCATGACATGTGTAGGAGATCTGAAGAAACTTGAAGAAGTGATTGTTTATATTCTCACAAGGAGCGCGTGTGTCTTATTTGGCCCTTGATTTGAAAGATGATGTGGATGACGATGGCTTCTCCGAGCTGCTGGCACATCTGTGCAGAGACAATGGCAGTGTTGTGAAGACCACAGCACTGCTGGGGAATTACCATCATGTAAACAGAGGCAGGCTAGCTAGCTTGTCTTAACCCTCCTATTGTCTTCGTTTATTACTTTGGTGTTCGCGGTCAAATTTGACCGGTCCTGTTTTAACTGCTATTACATTAACACAAAAACCATTAATCATCACCAAATGTCATTGAACACCCTTTCAAACTGTAAATATTGTATCAGACTACTGGTATACATGAAAAACTGCAGTAAATATACAAAGAATAGACACTGAACATGTATTGCGTGTGCCAGGTGTGATCCATGTGGGGGGATGGGCACATAAGAGCGGGAAATGTGTCAAATTGTTCTGTGTGTGTGTGTGTGTTTGTGAGTGCCAGGTGTGATTCACATGGGGGGAATGGGCACATACGGGGGGGTAACACATCTAGAGTATGTGTGTGTGTGTGGGTGTTTGTGTGTGTGTTTTATCTGATCCGGATGGTTACTAATTCCTTTTCTTTTTGGCGGTCATTTTTGACCGGGAACACCATGGGTGTTACAAAGTTGACTAAATCATCCAAAATTCAATGAAAGTGGTGATCAGCAATTTTATATGTTCAAATGTCTACTGTGAAGGATATCATAAAGCCTTAATGCAATCGAATGTAAAACAAAAAAGTTATGATTGATGAAAGTAGTAAATCGGTCAGATTTGACCCGAAGACAACAGGAGGGTTAAGCTGCTATTAGCCATCAAGAGAACATTGAGGACTTGTGTCCAAGAGTTTACATCACATTTGATTACATACAGCTTTTAGTCTCTGTTGCTTTTTTATCCAGATGTGAGAGTGTTTGTGTTCATTTTTCTAAATGTGCATGTCTTGCATCTGGGCTTGTGTGTGTGTGTGTGTGTGTGGTTGTGTGTGCATGCTTGGTTGCACCACAGTCCCAGTGGCTCAGTATCACATGTTGAACAGCGTGGGAATGAGGAGCCCTCTGGACCACGTCATCCTGACCCCAAACAGGATTGTGGGAACCAGTTAGATCCCACTCATTATCCTAAATGTCCCATCTATTTATGGTCATACTTTAATTTACTTGTTTATCCTTTCTTGTTTTGATAATTTCATGCTTTTTTCTATGGGCCCATTGACAATCGTAGGTGTTGGAAGATACAGCTATAAGTGAGAACTTGACCAGAATGTGGCTTGGCTTTAATTTGTTTTAACCCGTGCATAAACCACACACATACCCAGTCAGATTCATGCCAAGTACTTACTGGAAACACTTGGCACAGATAATGATGTTCCACATGTTGTTCACATTGCATAAAGTACTGGGTGTTATGTCAGGAACAGGGAAAGAGGATGTTTTTATCACATGTGTTTTTCAGAATCATTTTGAGATATTTTTCCAAAATGTCATGCAGTATATTAACTGTTTCTTTACCTACTTAAATGAACATATTTGCTTCAGTTTTCAGGGTGTGGTCAAAACACATCCTTCATTTAGTCAGGAATGGTTTTGTGATTATTGGGGTTATTTTTTTAATAATAAAACTTGTAGCTAACTACTGGATTAGCCTAAACTTGGGAATTCACTTTACTGCCTCGCTGCCAAATGTTTCTTGAGAGTTGTTGATAGAGAGTAGCTGAGCAATAAATACTCTAGTCTTCTGGAACGGGTCTGACCGCTTCCGAGAGTAAGAACAAAACATGGAGAAGCGGCGTTTAGCTATTATGCCCCCACAATCGGGAACAAACTGCCTGAATCATGCACGTCCGCAGAAACCCTTACTATTTTCAAATCGAGACTGAAAACATATATTTTTGCCGCTGCTTTTAATTGAACTGCTTTTAATTGAACTGCTCATATTCACACTGCAGTTTGCTTTTTATTCATGTATTGTATAACTGTTGTGTTTATCTTATTATCTTTGCCTTTTAAATGCCTGTTGTAAAATGCCATTATATAATGTGTTTTTACTGTATTTATTCTTAAATGTCTTTTATTTTGTAAAGCACTTTGAATTGTCACATACTGAAAGGTGCTATATAAATAAACTTGCCTTGCCTTGCCTTGCCTCCTTAAAATGGATTCCTCAAATAAACAGAGTCTGATGGACATACAAAAAAGTTCATATGGTTCTCTCTTACAATTAAAAAAAAAAAAAGAGCACAAACCCTGCAGAATGATGTTGAATTAATGTGAAATAAATCAGAGTAGACAAGCCTCAGGCACAAGTAATGAAACTGCCAACTTGGGGTTCTGTTGTAAACATATTTTTTCTGATCTGTCCAATTTTGTGATCTTTAAGACCAGAGTTGGGTGTAACGCGTTACAAAGTAACGCGTTACTATCATTGCCCCGACACGCGTTACTTCGTTACTTTTATAAAATCACACTGACAGACAAGAGGGGTTTCCGCCGCAGGTTTATATGTACGTAATCTGCGCGACTTGCGTCCACATCTCCACGTGCAGTGCTGCATAAACATGGCTGAGTCAGCGATAACTTTCGAGGGGCGGGCCGGCCCTGCGAGTAAAGTAACGAGTAAAGTAACGAGTAAAGTAACGAGTAAAGTAACGAGTAAAGTAACGAGTAAAGTAACGAGTTACTTTATGTAGAGAGTAACGAAGTAGTGTAATATATTACTTTTTTTTAGTAATGACCCCATCTCTTTTTAAGACCTACTGTTATCTGAAAGAAAAGACATCACCAAGATCTACATGTGTTGCTATTCTGGTGAAGCTTCAGAAATTCGATTCCAATCTTTTCGCGAAACAAACAATCAATTGTGCTTCTTTCGGCTTCTGTCCAAGGACTGTGTTTTTCCTTAATGTTGTCCTCTATAGCACTCTGCTGCTATCAGCATGGATTCTGCTCAGCCAATCCGATTTGCAAAAGTGTCATTTCATGTGGGGTGTTTTTGCAGTTGCAACATTTTAAAGTAAATCTGTCCAAAATATGTATTTGGGTTTGGAGTATATTGTGGGACTGTTTGATTGCCAAAGTAATGCTTTGTGGCCACCAGTCTGAACAAAGCTTTAGTCCTTAATTAAGGGGTAATATATAGATCTCTGTAGTGGCATCCAAGGTTTCCTTTTGCCACTATAGAGCGGGGTTGACGACACGCAATCCAAAGCAATAAGCAGCCGAAGGTTTTCAGTCAAAAAATGTAATTTATTAAAAAAAAGTATTGACTTAAATAGTCTCAAAATAACAAATCTAACTCAATATTTCGGCGATATACTTTCCTATATAAACTATACTTTGCAGTCCAATTTGCAACACTAATTTCGGTTTACAATTTTCGGTCGAAAAACTGTTCCGCTCCCCGTCTCATCAGGTCTCAGAGCACCGCGGCTGTCCTCAATTACCTCA